TTTACTCTGGACATTTTGTAAAAAAGCTTAGTGATAATCTCATAAAAATGGAAGATGACTAGGAAAGTGGTCTTTTTCGTAACTGCAATACAGGTAGTTCCGAAACTATGTTTTTTCTGCATACGTAGATTTTCACTTTCTCACTACCCTAGGGTAGAGGAAGTATTGACATCCTTCAAAGGGGGGGGGGGGGTNAGGTCCCAGGAGTCAAAATAACCATACTTGAAAAAATGTGTGTCCGTCCGTCAGGCGTCCCCCAAATCTGTGTACAGCGATATCTCAGAATCTATCTGTTCGATTTCATTCAAAGTTTGCCGAGGGTCTCTTTATTTTCATTTGTTCATTGAAAATTTTCTTTGAAACAAAAAAAACCGGTAGAGAAAGAATTTCAGAGTCTACGGCGGTCAAGAATTCCTTTGGAATTATTCTCACTATTGAAATCTGAATGTAAAAACGATTTGCAAAGATTTTTGAAGGTGTTTCACCTCTTAAAATTTCAGTTCAACGATACACAAGTCAGCAAGCAGAGGGAGCGGAAACTATCATTTCAGTCTACAATTTTTTTGATGAAAAAGCGTCTTTTTCTACGAATTTTGAGAGGCTTTCCAGCTTGAGATCTCTTCAACTTGATCATTCTTCGTTACACGAAGATTTACATAATTTTCACACGTGTTTAAATAATCGAAAAAGACACAATACCTTTGAAAAAATTATGACAAAATTACGTAAACTCCGATGATTTTACTCGTTAAAAACGTACAAAGAATGGTCTCTTAATCAGTAAACATTGAAAGTTTTTCACGTACCTAATACTCACCCTCTCTTTGAAAAATCTTTTTACAATGATTTTTTTTTTGAAAATTAAAGGGTAATTGTTTCTATAGGATAAAGATTCATAAATCGGGTTTCTCCTTCGATCAGGCAATCCACGTCTTCTCAGGTTGTAAAGAATGTAAAGTTTCATCGGGTCCGCGTGAGATTCTGCCTAAGGCTCTCCTGTCAGACCCCAACGATAACGGTTCGACCTGCAACTTTTCCTTCCCGCAACGCCCCCCCCCCCCCCAA